TATATATATATATATATATATATATATATATATATTAAATGCAAATTTAATAAACCTTTTTCAAAAAACACTTATTTTTTTGGATAATTTTGGGCGTCGACCCCAGATTCAATCATCTTACATGATCCAGTTGTACACAACACGTACGTATATGAGTTTTTCCTTTTGATAGATGGTTATTTTAGTCTTTTATATCTACTTTTGTATCCACATACGTAACTTATTTGTTGGGCACCAATCTTAGTCTTTCTTTTTGTATTATTAATTGTCGATACCATCTATCGTTTGTATGTTAGAATATTTCCTTCATGTCTTCCTTCATTGCATTTATTATTTATTGAACTCGTTACTTGTTTACATGTAACGTGTTCACTTGTTATTTTTTTTAAAAAAAATTTGTTGTATGAAGTAACGATCTTAATGAAAACAATCTCTTTACCGTTTAAGGTTAGATACAAGGTTTGTATAGATTCAATCCCTCATACCTTAATTTTTACAATTTTTTTTATTAAGTTGGTATATTTTTTTTATTAACCTGGATATTCAACCCGCTATGCGAGTCGACTAATCTCAGGGCGACCACCTGTTTTGCAGATAGCACGAAGTCACCGCATTTGAACCTCCGTGGCCACAAGGGGATTTTTATTCCTTATTGGATTTGAACTTGGAACCTCCTGATACTTTTGACCTTTGGAGTCAAGCTCAAACCAATCAGACACCACCTTTGTTGTTAAGTTGGTATATTTTTTGTTTTATAGTTTAGAAATGCAAATGGCTATAATTAATTAATTATTATGATTATTGATATACATATATGTTATGTTCTAAAAATAAATAATAATATTAGTCTAAGGGGGGTGTTTACCAAAACATTTACCCCGTAAGCATTTACGTGAAAAATTTTAGTCCATCAAAACGACATTGTACGCAACAATTTACCCGATAAGTGCTAACTGGGTAAGACTCTCGGTCATCGCTTTCGCTCTTACCGGGTAAGATTCTCGATTCTTTGCATATATATATCCGGTAAGGTAATATGACTTGATAAACGTTTGAGAAACGATTTTTAAGGGATTGCAGCCCCTTTTTAAATCCACTTGTTACATGAACCTTTTTATGCGACATTTTCAATTACAATTGTTGATGGCAATATTTAGTTGATTATACATTTTTTATTTTATTCATTTAAAAATATTTAATTTTATAATTAAACTAAACATAAAATTCAAAAAGTAAACCTTTTACTTATGGATAACACATTGGACTTTAGACCCATAATTGGTTGTAGGCATGGATTGTAGGGTAGGTGTGTAACCAGTTGTGAGAAAATCGGTCCCTCAAGGTTCCGTTACGACTCGGTCCAAGTTTATGGGTTTAGATAGGTACGATATTTAGAATGTGTTTGGGATTGCTTATTTGAAACAACTTATGTTTTTTTATAAAAATACTTATCAATTTATTATAAGCCTGAAGAGTTTAACTTCTTTAAAAACTCCTTATCACCGGTTTGGCACGGTATAAGTTGTTTATCTAAACACTAAAAAATGCTTATTACCGATTTTACACCGGAATAAGTCAATAAGTTGTTTTTATAATCAATCCCAAACACCCCCTTAGTTGGAAACCGGTTAAGGGCCGGTCTAACGTCGGTTTGCGTCTATCCTAATTCAATTAAAATTAAGGTATGCTATCGTCTGTTTGATAGATTGTTAAAATCGTAAACATATACTATTGGGTTATTTATTTATTTTTTTATGATCCATGAGAATTTTTTTGAATGACCCAACATAATTGGTCCAATATATTGTCTTGTATCACAAGGTTTTATGATAATAAGAAAGTATGAAAATACAAAAAAATAAATAAATTCTAGAGACTGAACCGTCAGATGGTCGTAATATCAAAAGAATAGCTTTACAACATCTTATTCTACATTCTCAACAGTGGGGATCAGTTCTGGAGGTCTGAAGGTCGTGCTTTTACTATTCGACATAAAGCAGTTTTTTGCCTGATCTTTCTTCATATTTTTTATTAGTTTGATTACATACTACTACTACTAGTTTCAGGATTATGGTGATTGTTTTGTAGTTTTATCTAGTCTAGTTTAGACTTTTGTATTGCTTTCGTAACGGTGGTTATGGGCTTTAAACAGTCTAAGGGGCCGTTTACCCAATTGCTTACCGATAGGAGTCAACACTATGATTTAATTTGATGCGTAAGATTTTAGTAATATCAAAACATATCAAATGCAACAATTTACTGGGTAAGTGTTTACTTGGGTAAGAGTCGTCATCCTCACTTACCGGGTAAGACTATCCATCATTCTTATCGCTCTTATCGGTAAGATTCTTGACCCTTCTCATTTCATCCGATTAAGAAATTTATCCGGTTTAATAAACGACCCCTAAATATCCCATTGCTTTTACTGTCATCTGAGGAGTTTTTCATGTTAAAATTTGTTTGTCACAAAAAACACCATTGATTATTATTGCATTTTATATACCCTATTTGTTTTCATCTTCAAAGGTTCATATGGGTCAAAAAAAAATATTTGGTCAAACGAAGATGACATTTATTATTTACACTCAAAATTTGGGCCAAGAGTTTTTCATGGAAGTCGCTTGGAAAAGGGGTGGCTAAAAAGCCTTTTGTTGAATTGACTTTTAACTAATTCATCCTTATTTTCCTTCTTTAACAATCATCACATTAATAAGTTACTTCTTTATTAATACTTAAACTATTCTAAAATATAGTAAAGTTGTTATGATTTCATAAATGCTTTCAAACATATCAAGGGTTTTTGGATTGCTTATTTGAAACAACTTATACTTTTTTATAAAAGTGCTTATCAATTTATTATAAGTTAGAAGGTTTAACTTCTTCAAAAACTTCTTATTACTGGTTTAGCACCGGTATAAGTTGTTTATCCAAACACTTAAAAGTGTTTATTACCAGTGTCACACCAGAATAAGTCAATAGGTTGTTTTTATAAGCAATCCCAAATACCCTCTAACTTATAAGTAATTCATGTTTGGTTGATATGTTAGTTGAAAATTTAAAAAAAAAACAGTTAAAAAATTTAGTGAACTTTAACATTTAATAATATATATAAAACAAATAATTAATTATATAAGATGTTAATTTAATAGCAGTGTAAGTAATATATCGAAAATGTTAATTAGTAGAATTTTATATAAATATATATTATAATACAAATTTTAAACATATCTAGAGTAAGTGAGGATTTCAAAGAGTGATTACATATAGTTTGAGTAAGAATAAAATGGATCAAACTTAAATATTTTAATTAATTAATAATTTCTCAAAAAAATAATCAGACCAATATTTTATTAAAATATTCATCACGTTTTATTATTTATGAAACAAAAAACTATGATTTTAAATTTTATATTATTTACAGATTAAAAATTATTATATTTGTATTTGACGACAAAATATATTAAAAAATAATTGATAAGATCAATTATAATAAACTAAATAATTAATAATCTATACTAGTAAAATTTGAAATCAATATTAATTAATAATTAATATCAATAACTAACACTTAATATTTATTTATAATTATGAATAAAAAATGGTAAAAAAAAACATCTCAACGTTTCAATAAACTAATTTATAAGCTATATGTTACTCATCTAAACGATAATATATTATCATTCAAATAAATTCAGAAAATAAACTAGTTTATGTTTATCAAACATCATCTTTATGTGAAAAATTGAGAAAAAAGTATTCATAGATATATTATTATAATTATTATTTTTACTTTACAAAGAATATTATACATTTTATGTAACAATATTTAATCGTTGCTTTTTTCTTAGACATAAGTTTGTTGACGAGCCTACATCCTATGTTGAACTAGATAATCCCGTAAACAAAATGACATGTAGTATCAATCACAATGACAATCCACTATTAAGCTAATAAGACCAAATGTTGTTGTATAATGTATGGTTGCATTTCATTGAATAAATTGTACCTCTCTAGAATTTGAACCTTATTCAAAAAGCCGAAACACTTTTACGACTCAAATTCCATGTTACAAGTTGTGAAACACTTTTATGACTCAAAACAAGGGTAGTGTATGATTGGTTTGAGCTTGACTTCAAAGGTCAAAAGTATCTGGAGGTCTCAGGTTCAAATCCAAGGATAATAAAAATCCGGATTAGTCGGCTCGCATAGCGGTTTGAATATCCAGGTTAATTAAAAAAAAAAATACAAAGTATATATAAAATTACATTATATATGGAATACCTTTCTTTTAATCCTTGGTTGTTATTGTTGATGACCTTTTCCATATTCCAAAAACAAGGTTCCATGTGCATGACCCACATGATTGATTGAAACCCATATATTCAAACTCAACCAAATACAGCGTTCCATAAAAGCCAAGCTTCCCACTTGCAATTAAAAGACTTGATGATCACATCTGGTCAACCACACTGCCGTAGGTTTCCAAGAAACAACCACCCCACACCCTCCTCAACCCAAATGCCCTTAGCTACTATATATAAAACCACCCTTTACACTACTCACCATATATCCATAACTCAACTACTTGAAAGCTCCATTTCATCATTCCAAGAAATCTTGAAACCTAAAAATGGCCACCAAGTTGAACATGTTGCCAGAAGACTGTCTTTCCACTATTCTATCTTTCACTTCTCCAGCAGATGCATGTAGATTAACGATTGCAGCTTCCTCTTTGAGATCGGCTGCCGAATCCGATACAGTTTGGGCCAGATTCTTGCCATCTGATCTCCCAAGTATTATATCGAGAGCACATTCTCAACTCGACTTTTCTTCGAAGAAAGAACTCTATTTCCAGCTTTGTGATTCAGTTCTTGTAGATGGTGGAATTAGGGTACGTTAGTTTCTGGTTCATTTTGTTTTGGGTTTTTTGAAGAATTGGGTTTGAAGCCAATTTTCTTTAATTGATTAAAGTACTGATTTTGTTTTGCTTAATCCATGCAGAGCTTTTCATTAAACAAACTAAGTGGGAAAAAGTGTTGTCTTCTGTCCGCAAGAGCACTTTCTATTTCCTTAAGCAATGAACCAAACCATTGGAGCTGGACATCCCATTCTGCATCAAGGTTGGTTAATTTAAATGATACCAAGAAAGTCAAAGTTTTACTTTTGTCGTCAAATGTGTTTTTTAATTCCAAATTTTTATTAAAAATAAAGTACTTTTTTTTTCGTAAATATTAGTATGGGGATAAAGATAGATATACTAAATTCCACTTAATTCTCATGAATTACAGATTTTCCGAGGTGATTGAGCTAAAAACGATATCCGGCATTGAAATCGAAGGAAGAATAAGCACCGACAACTTGACTCCTAAGACGACGTATGGTGCTTATCTCATCATAAAAGTTTCTGATCGTGCATTTGGGTTGGACTCAATCCCATCTGAGACATCAGTATCCATGAACGAATGCTTGGTTACCAACACCGGATATTTATGCCCTCTCGACAACAAAAAGCAACAACTGGAATCCTTGTTTTTCATGAACCGAAGGCGAATGATGGAGAAACGGGTGGTAAAAGGAGAAGGCCGACGTCCATGCAAGAGAGAGGATGGATGGATGGAAATCGAGCTCGGAGAGTTCTTTGTTGGAGGAAAAGGTGAGGAGGTGAAGATGAATTTGATGGAAGTTAAGGGTCATCAACTAAAAGGAGGACTCATCATCGAAGGAATTGAAGTCAGGCCTAAGTGTTAACTCCAATCTTGCAATTCATTCAAGATTACTTAACAAACTACAAGAAAATGAAGAAATATATACAAGTTTTGTTTGAAAAATCAAGCAATTGTGGAAAAAGTAGAATTCTTTATTCATTTTTGTATATCTAGCTAATTCTTTCCATTAAATCAATGGCTGTCAATATATTATTCTCTTATTTATTTCAACATGTACGTATTGTTACCTCTCTTCCTACCCTTGTCCAAATGACATTTTTGAAAATTGTGATACAACCATAAAGATATGTAAAATATTCATGTAAGGATGTGTGTAATATGACTTTGCAAAACAGAAAGTTGTAGGTGTCTTTATATGACTGCAACCTTATATTCAAGCATGGACGTGGGTAATGTTTTTTTTTTTTTTTGCAAAACAGAAAGTTTTGGGTAATTTAACACGAGCGCACTTTATGATCAAACATAGATGGGCATGGTGTTATTTCGTGAAACTAGAATATTTGGGTCTTCAAGCATGACCGCACCTTATAATCAGATTTGGCCATGCACGACGATAAGTACGATTTTTCTAGTTTTTACTATTGGGATCAGATTGAGATTCTACCTATGGATTAGTATAAATAACCAGAGTTCCATCATGGTAGAGAACGAAATTGAGAACTTAGAAACCCTAGTCTGATTTGAGAAAATATTGAGAGAGATTATACGTAATTTAGGGGCTGTTTACTTGCTTCTTATTGACACTTATTGAATAAGAGCCTCTTACCATGATAAGAAGTAGAATGTTTACTAGTCACTTATTATGAAAAAAGACTCTGATCGTCCCTCTTACCCGGTAACAATCGGTCAGCAAGGATTCCCCTCCTTATCGCAGTCAAAGATACGGTGCTGATTTTTTTTCCGATTTTATCCTCCATTCCCCCTATTTCAATCGCATTCTTTATCCTTTCAAGATCAATCGTCCCTGTTTCAGAAGCAATCAAGACTGCAGAACTCTTCATTATAGTTCATCGATCTCCTGTTTTCGTCCTCATTCTCTCGTTCGCCTTCCTCTGTTTCTCATCGAAAATACGCTCTAATCAAATTTCAGGTATGTCATTACCATTCGTTTAAGTCTAAGGGCTTCAAGATTAGGGTTTTTATTTGATGAGTAATGATTTGTTATCGTTGATCTATTTAGGGTTTTTCTTTATGTTTTTGGTTGATGAACAAATATTTGATTTTGTTTGTTTAAATCAATGATTACCATTACTACTACCCTTGTTTATGCTTTGCACCTTGAATCACAAGTTTCTGGAATCATTTCACCTGCTGATACTTTTCTTCATTTCTTGGAATAAATTTGGGAATTCCTATTTGTGTGCCATTTAAGTCTGATAAAGATTCTCAGAATTCAGGATTGGGTTTCATGACAATTTTGTTCAGTTGGCTCTGTCCTGTATATCCCAAATAGGTAGCATTGGCTCTACGCCTTACACCTTGAATCACAAGACATCCAAATGATTTGGCCTCCAACCAGGGCTTGTAGTCTAGACAGTAACTTGGTAGGCTTGTTGTGCTTGTGTAGTTATAGAAATGTGCATAACCCCCAAGGACCCTAACTAGTTTTGGTAAAAGAGCTTGTGTGGTCTTTTCAAAAGAAAGAATGTAAAACTTGATTTTCAAGTCTGCTCCAGTTTGGTTTTTAACCAAAAAATAACTTGCACTTGTATAAGCACATACAAAAAGACAAGTTTCAATTTATACCATTTATTGAACTAGTTTCAAGGTGATGATGTGGATATAGGCGTATTCATGGTAGTAAGAATAAAAAACTTTGAATGTGTTGTTATTTTCTCAAGATCGGACCCCCCCTTCTCCGCCAAAGACTGATGAAGCCAAAAAAAATTGTTTCAACATATAAAGATTGAATAAGGCAAATAACTACAAGCCTTTAACTAAAACAAAGAAGAGAATACGAGTGAACAGAATTATGGTATTACAAATGTAAATTTCGGAAATTATATAACAGAAATATGCAAACCAAGGTTTGGATACTAACAGGGTGGTGTTAGATACAACAGAAATATGGAAACTGGAAAGCTAGAGTGGGATACAAGATGATCCAATGGGTCATTCAACAAGAAGCAACAAATATTCTGTAGATGAAGATCAGTACCAGATATCACATGTCTTATATAACCTTGTAATTGTTCACCAGATATCACATGTAACATCCCATTCTAAAGGTTAGATGAATATTTAGATGTTTGAAAGTTTCGGGGTAGAATTGTTTTATAGTGATAATCAAGGGGGTTATAATGTCCTTCCCTCAATCTAGTATTAATATAAATAGGAGTTTTAAAAAGAAAAAAAGAAAAGAAAAGAAGACTAGAATTGGAGAAGGGGGGGATTAGGAGAAGTCGAGAAGAAGACATCGATGGGAGACGATTCATCCTTGCTAGTTTTCATCTAATCGTCAAATTAAGGTAATTTTTCTCATGTCTTAGCTTAATTTCTTGTTGTATTTGATGTTTAGGATGATATTGGATTCAATTTTTGGGGTTTTAGGGCTCAAATTTGTGTTTTAGCGGCTGTCTATGTAATTTCTTTGAGAAACCTAGTTTTATGATGTATATTTTTAGCCCCAATTGAGTTCTAATGTGTTATATCTTCACTTTGTTGCATTGGAACCTAAAATGCTTCAAGGATTGAATCAAAGTGGGTATTATACATCTTGATAGTAGAAGTATTTTGTTGGGTAAGTTTACTTCATGTTTAGGATAGTTTTGAGTTCATCTAAGATGTTCAATCATGAGTGGAAGTTGAAAAATTATTATCTTTGACAATCTTTAAAAGTCAAAGTTTAGTGATGAAATTTAAGACTTTGAAATCTTCATAAAAATATTAAGATGATTGTTATGGTTTGTTTCTTGGTATCATTAAGATGTTATTAGATGGATTGATGAAGAAAATTTCCATTCAAGCATGTTTTATTGATATATTAAAGGTTATGTTCAAAACAGTTGACTTTTTCCAAAAAGTCAAACTGTTTTGCCTAATTTTTAAAATTGAGTCGTTATATGCAAAATCATGGATTGAAGTTCGGTGGATATAGTTATGATAGGTATATAAAGGTGTTACATTGATTATTTCAATGTTCCTTATAGGTTTTGATGGATTTTCATTGTTAAAAGAAGTTTGAGTTGGGTTTGATCAATATATGAACATTTATGCATTAGTTAGGTTGTGAGTGCATAAATGAATGCGTGAACCTTATAAGCATATTTCAATGTGTATGATAAGCATATTTTGGAGGTTAGAATGTGAGCCTAGAGCCTCGGGTGAAAAATGAGCAAGTCATCGGACTAAGTTAGTTTGGTGCTGAAAATTTGTAACAATTGTATAAAATCACTCGTAACTCGGATTTAGACGTGTAATATCAATCTGGAACTGTTATGAAGTCTTCTACAATCAATATGTTTTGATCATGAGGTAGTTAGGGCTCTAAATAGGTCAAAAAAATGGGTTTTTGCGCAGCTGTCCATTTTAGACTCAAATAAGAGTTTTGTTTCTTTTAAACCCATGTATGAGAAGGTTCAAAGTCCATTTTTTTTAGTGGTTCTTGTCGGTATGTATATTAAGATAAGTAAGTTGTCTAAATCTTTTGTTAGGATGTTTGTATTGATGTGAGAACCGTGCCTGTGGATTGTTTAGGTAGCACGGTGGATAAGCAAGTTGGGCACCGGCGGGATCTCAACTAAATAGGCTAAGGTGAGTTTCAAGTAGATTTTAATGAGGTACACGTCGAACGTAATTACCTTTACATAATTTATTTTGTTTGACATATTTTAGTGATTAAAGTAGAAAATGCATGATTTTAAATGAT